AATCTCAGAGCCTTTACCTCAGTGAAGATACTCACAGTACAGGTTTTTTCCATCAAGGTCAATTAAACTACCTTGCAATGGCCTTATGAGCAAATATCTGGAGAGCAATCATATTGATTACCCTGAATTAATTAGATTTGAAGGATATTTAAATTAAATTAAGTTAAATTAAATGTGAATCGTTTGTCCTGACCATGGGTGTATCCTAACTACTTTTCAAAGTGTGGTCCCAGTATTTAACGGTTAACTGCAATCGCTGTCCTAAAAAAAAAAACTTAATGCAGATTTAAAGAATGTTGAAAAGTGACTGGCAGACAGAATAACTATAATCACATACATTTATTTTCTTTGTCATCCTGCATTCCTCACTATCCGTGACTCATGACTTGGGGGGGGGGGAGATGTATAAGGCCCGTGGTGGTACGGTGATTAGAATGCAGTATTGCAGGCTAATTCTGCCGACTGCCAGCAGTTCGGTTTTCACTGGCTCAAGGTTGACTCAGCCTTCCATCCTTCCAAGGTGAGTAAATGAAGACCTAGATTGTTGGGGGCAATAGGCTGACTCTGTAAACTGCTCAGAGAGGGCTATAAAAGTACTGGAAGTGGGATATAAGTCTAAGTGCTATTGCAAGTCTTCCATGAAGTTTAAGAGCCAGCAGTGAAGGTGCTGGCTTAGAAACCAGAAGACTCTGAGTTCTAATTCAGCCTTAGACATGAAAGCCAGCTGAATGACTTTGGGCCAATCAGAAAGAGACTGTGAGTTCTAATCCTGCCTTAGCTGCCTCCAGCTAGATCACTTTGGGCCAATCACCAAGAGACTGTGAAATCTAGTCCCATTTTGGGCATGAAAGCCGAGTGAGTGACCTTGGGCCAGTTACTGTCTCTCAATCCAAGTCACCTCATAGGGAGGTTGTTGTAGGGAATATAGGAGGAAGAAAGAGTATCAGGTATGTTTGTTGCCTTCAGTTGTTTATAAAAACATTAAAGGCAGGATATGAAAAAACAAAAATGAGCAGATATGTACAATGGCTCTTCAGTCAACCAGCAACTGTGAATTGCATTTTGGGGCTTTCAAAAATTCAGGTGATTAAACAAAAACGCAAAATGCTTCATAATGCTTCATTAAGATTATTTTAAAATGTGTTGGCAGCGAGGACATGCTGAGAAGTCATGGAGAAAATGAGAAAATTGCTAAGTAAATGAAAGATAGCTTCAACTAATGATTCAAAAAACATGGAACTCTTCAGTGGCAGTTTGCATAAGAAAGGTACAGTAGAACAACATTTGTAAATGTTTCAGAGTGATAAAATATAATTGCATCATTTTTGCACATTTAGTAGGTAGCTGACAACTGCTGCTATAATCTATTAAATATCTAATTAGTTGCTTCAAGGTAAAAGAATCTTGGTAGCATTTCTGGTTGTACAATACTCAGTTAACAGAAAAATGGGCTCATGAATGGCATTATTTTTCTTTTCTACTTCCTCAAGTTACTTTTTTCAAATGAATTTAAAAGCTATTAGAATCATTTGGCCTGTTCAGTCCCTTATAGCCTAGAAATAAAATGTGGTATACAAACAAAATTTGATGTATAGGCCCAAAGCTGATTTTTATATATATATACCTATAGACACGATCTTGCCAGACTCTAGTATCTGCATTTACAATAAAATTTCCCTTTTATGATCCTGTAATCCCTTAATTCAGGGTAGAGTCGGGGCAACTGGATGAAGTTGAGAGTTTACTGGCCGAATGCCCTTCCTGACACCACATGAAGTTTGCAAGAGATATTTTTTTCTTTGTGCCTAGAGGAGAAACATCTGCCACTATCTAGGATTGAACTCTCAACCTTCTGAATGGGAGGCGGGCATCTTCACCACTAGGCCACCACACCGCTCATGTCTGCATCCACAATATACTCTGTGAACTATTATGGAGAAGCTGCCTTCACCTTCTTTCTCACACATATAACATCTAAACTGAGTTGCCCCTTACTCCTCATACACGCTTGCAAGTACCTCTCCAGCCTCCACCCCCACCCCCCCTCCTGGCACGCGATGGCAAAAAGGTTAGCTATCACTGCCCTATATCATAAGCATAAGCTTTGAGGGAGATGCCATAGGACTTCAGCAACCCAGGCATGTATAAGGACCGGAGTCATGTCATAGAACAATGCAATGCCAGTCATGGGGAAACTGTCAATTCTGAAGCAAAATCACTGTTATTCTGCAACACCAAGAATCATTCAGTTCTCAGGAGTTACAGTAATTTGTCTGACAATTTCTGTGCATGCCTCAGGTTAATGTCAGATCTGCTATTATTATAAGGAGAAAAATAGCTCTGTGGTTAAAAAAAAAAATATAAAAAATAAATGACTCAGTATTCTACCCAGGCACTTAAAGGAAACTGTGTATAGTTTGTTCACGCTGAAAGCCTGAAAGTTCACAAGACCGGAGGCTGTCATCACCACCATACAAAGTCTTAAATCGTTTCTTCAAAGTTTTATTTTTTAATTAAATGTGGCATTTTAAGCCCAATGTTGAGTGCTTATACCCTCTAGCTAAATGGATGATGATACTCCTTATATAAATAGATTCTACTAAGGAAAGCTACTGTGTTTTATATTGATTATTTCATGCAAATGTTTGCAGAGTAAACCATTTATTGTAGCCCCTCCTCTCCACAATCATAACAATTTTAAAATATATCTATATTAGAAGATACTATTCAAACCAGGGGGTTTCAAGTTTGGGAAACTTAAAATTTATGGACTTCAACTCCCAGAATCTCCCAGCCACTATTCTGGGAAGAAATTCTGGGAGCTGACGTCTACAGGTCTTAAAGTTGTTAAACTTGGACATCCATGATTTAAACAGTTGAAAAGTGTTTGATTTCTTTAGATTTTTTTTTTTAAATACTTTGCAAAATAATTGACATGATATCTGACTATTCTAAAGCAAAGGAAGGTGGAACTTGGTTTGTATTTGCATGGAAGCAATGAGAAAATACTTCAGTAGCATTTCACATGGCCATGAATTCAATTACAACTGAGTTGAAGTTGATACTTTCCCTGTTTTTAACTGCCTGCCATCCTAACACTGATGGATCTCTAACTCTTCACAATATAGCCTTTGCTCGGAAGGGAACCCCCCCACTGATGGATTTGACAGGTATAGATTCCAAGGTTAGAGACTCAAGATACAGAGCAGATTATTATAACTGGTGCATTATTGAAAACACTCCATTGGTAAAGTTATGTGAAGCATCATCCTTCTGTAGGATGTTCTACTATGATGAGACACTTGGCTTCATCTCAACAATTGGTTAGGACAAATTGACCTCGCTGAGTTAGTTTATCTTTACAAATAGGATTTCTCTGCATGGGTATGGATGGAGATTCATCCCATAACCAATTATCTCTTAGTGGACTTTTAACCTATTTGCCTTATGAAGAGGTTTCAAAACTAGGAGATTTTCTTAACTACTTGTTAACTTCTCCTTGGCATCTGATGCTAATATTGCCATGTTTAGATCATTTGCAGTGCTGATAACTTTATCTAAGGTGAGTAAGTATCAATTCCATTAATCTCTTGCCCCTCCTGCTATTTCCTAGCAACCTACTACACAACCATCCTTTTGTTCCCCTAAAAAACTGTATACACCTTATGAATATATTCACATATTTCATTTGACCCAAGAAAAGATAATTAATCTTCCTGACTTCAAGATGTTGATTATGACATAGAAGGCCCTGAAATCTTCACCTTTGCAAACCTGCTAATTACACATTGTTTGGGGAAGTCTTACTGCAAGTCTTTAAGAATCACAGAGCACCAACTGGACTTCACTCTGGATTTACCAGAATGGGACATACCTTCTGAAATATTCTCTCCCCTCAAGTGTGTGTAGCACCTATTTTTTTTCATCTTTTAAGTATTTGTTAAAGATCCGTTTATCTTTTTTGAACTATCACTGGATGGTTTTTGTTCCTAATTCCATCGTCTCCCATAATTTAGCATTCTTATATCATATTTTATATTTTGTTCCTGGTTCATTTCACATACACAAACACACACAGTGACCATATGCTAACTAAATGAAAGGTATGATTAAAAATAAAGCAGAAAAGGAAAATCTTTTCTAGAGCAGTTGAAACAGAATATATACATACATAAACATTCAATCTATCTATCTATCTATCCATCCATCCATCCATCCATCTCTCCCTCCCTCCCTCTGGACCTCATCCATCTCTCTCTCTCTCTCTCTCTCTCTCTCTCTCTCTCTCATTCCCTCCCTAACTTGTCTGTCTGTCTGTCTGTCTGTCTGTCTGTCTGTCTGCCTGCCTGCCTGCCTGCCTGCCTGCCTGCCTGCCTACCTATCTATCCATCTATCTATCCATCCATCTCTCCCTCCCTCCCTCCCTCTCTCCCTCTGGACCTCATCCATCCATCTCTCTCTCTCTCTCTCATTCCCTCCCTCCCTTATCTGTCTGTCTGTCTGTCTGTCTGCCTGCCTGCCTGCCTGCCTGCCTACCTACCCATCCATCCATCCATCCATCTCTCCATCCCTCCCTCCCTCCCTCTGCACCTCATCCATCCAGCCTGCCTACCTACCTATCTATCCCTCCCTCCCTCTGTACTTCATCCATCACTTTCTCTCTCATTCTCTGCCTACCTTGTCTGTCTGTCTGCCTGCCTGCCTGCCTGCCTGCCTGCCTGCCTGCCTGCCTATCTATCTATCTATCTATCTATCTATCTATCTATCTATCTAATCATCTCTCCCTCCCTCCCTTGTCTGTCTGTCTGTCTGTCTGTCTGTCTATCTATCTATCTATCTATCTATCTATCTATCTATCTATCTATCTATCATCTATCTCTTGCATCAATCACTAGGTAAATCACTTTATATGATTCATGCAGATCTCAGAATTTGTGTTTACTTGGTGAAGAAGAAGTCCTCCTGTGTCTTTAGAGGTATCCAGCATGATCCAGACCTACCTCTTGATGCTGTCTCTGGAAAAATAGACTGCATAAGTCTGAATGTTCCCTTTGGCCTCTGCAGGTGGGCGCCAGCTGAGACGGACAAATCGGCTGGAGACCAAGACAGGGACCACGTCTCGGGGAGCAGAGGGAAGGATCCTGGAACTTGGGATAGCTAAAGAAGGGGAAGGAGAGGAATTTATCAGGCAAACAGATGGTGTAGGGGTCGCAGGGTGGGAGTGAAGCACTGTCATAGGTACAACTAACATTTCAGAAAACACAGGGCTAGATAAATCAACTGTGGCTAGGATAAACACAGGGAAAGAGAGAGAAAGAGATTAAAAAAACAACTAGCCATAAAACCTTTCCTTTAAATGCATCAACATTTCATATATTTTTTTACAAATCTATAGATTAGCCTTTATATAAATATCCTCCTCTTTTTTTCTAACTCACTTTTCTGATTAATAATTCTTTTTAGCAGGGCTATCACAGCTGTGCTGCGAAAAACTGAATATTAGATGACAACCAGGAAATACAAATTTGTATGTTGGGTTGCCATTTAGTAGATTTCTGGATTCCACAGTGCAGATATGGTAACCCTTTAAGCATTCATTAGCTTACCCACTCTTGTGTTACCTTTGTTGTTTATCATAAAATTATTAGCCAATTTTACATTTGGGATAATGAAATCACAGTTTCTTTTAAGAAAAAAATGGGAATATAAATGTCATAACCCAACATTTCTGTCAGTGTATTTAACCAGATTGGACTTTGGCAAGATATTTACAGGTAAATACAGGTAGTCCTTGTCTTACAACCATAATTGGGACCAACATTTCCTTTGCTAAGCAAGGCGATTGTTAAGTGAGTTTATTTTGCCCAGTTTTATGGCCTCTTTTGCCATTAAATGAATCACTCAGTTGTCAATAAATCCATTGGCTTCTTCCATTGCGCTTGTTGGAAGCTGGCTGGGAAAGGTAAATCACATGACTTCTGGACACTGCTATCCTTGTAAATACATGTGGGTTGCCAAACACTTGATTTTTAATCACATGACCATGAGGATGCTGTAAGTACAAGGACTGGTTGTAAGTTACTTTTTTTTCCCAGTGCCATTGTAACATTGAACGGTTGCTAAACAAATGTTTGTAAGTCAAGGACTGCCCTTATCATACAAATGTTCCACCTTAAAAACAGTTATGGTTCTATTCCTAAGAATTCAAAATTAGGATATAACCCAGAATGTCTTAGCCATTCTTATGTCTTCCCAATTTCACAACTAATGACATGCAAAATGCAAAATGCCTGAAGATGAAAGCATATCACAAATAGCTTGGGCTACAGTAACATCATGCTTCAGAAGCAACATAATCAATAAAAATAAAAAAAGAACAACATTGTAAAGGAAAACAAGGTGTTAAAACAAACACTTCCCAAAGTATTGTGAAATAAATTGATTTTCACAACTAAGCAATCGAAGAGGGACAATATTTGAGAAAACAGTCACAGTTGTAAGACTGAAGTTTGTAATGTAGAATGCATTTATTACAGTCATATTTATCTTTGTAGGCTGAGGGGCTCCCAAGCAGCATAATTGATCAGAAATGGGGATGGGGATATTTAAAAGGAAATAAACTGCAGCCTTTGAGAATCCTTTGGCTATGACAGTTGGTGCTAATTTGAAGAGTGGAAATTTTCACTTGGGTTGACAAGTTGATATTTTATGTATTTGATTATTTATTTATAGAAATCATCCAGCCAGAGCTGAAGAAGCTTCTTGGAGGAGAAGCAAAATGTCTTCAAAAGAAAAACCAGAAAGTCCAGTTGCCTCTTGGAAAAAGCACCTTTGGGACAGCTGTGACCTGGATGACTGAGAATCTCCATAGTAGTCTATTTATTTAATTTATTATAGCTGCTCATCTCAGCCAAATGACTCTGGATAACTTAGAATTTTGAAACTATAAAACAGTTTTAATAGTTACAAACAATAAAACAATAAAAACATACAAAAATAACCAACTATCAATAAAGCTAAAAAAAAAAAATGGGGCTCTTAACACATTGTGAACCCCAGGTGTACATAGCCAAATTTTAAAAGCCTAATGAAAGGCCAAGATTATTTCCGAGTGGAGGATATTCTATGAAGAAGGGGCTACAACAGAGAAGGCCCATCTCCTAGTTTTCCTTCTCTTTCTGCCTTCAGGGAAATAGACATCATGGCTTTATAAGAGTGAAGATGAAAGAATCCATATGAATAGGCCTCTATGCAGTGGTGGGATTCAAATAATTTAACAACCGGTTCTCTACCTTAATGACTGTCTGGGTGTCTAAGTTTTTTTTTTAAAAAATCTTCTTGTATTTGTAAATATTGTCAAATCAAATCCATTTATAGAAGCTGAAAGCAAGACAAACCCTAACCAAAGAAAGACCAATACTTCAATAGAAATTGCTACCATAGGTAAGTATAGGCTGATTCACCTTTCTATAGAAGTGCTTTTCTCTCTGTTGTTGGTCAACAAGATGTTAACCCCTCTAGTTGGGAGAACTCACTCATACTTCAAAGTTCCTCTGAAATGCCCTTTGTCTGGAGAAATAGCCGACCTATCTGGCACTGTCTTTGATTTCAGTATATAATCCTTTTTAAAAAATTCAGCAGATGTTCTTTGTGTAGCTTTTTTCTCAAAAGAGCCTTGGTGGCGCAGCAGACTAAAATGCTGTTAAAGTAGCACTTAGCTGCCAGCTGCCTGCAATTACTGCAAGTTCAAATCTCACCAGGCTCAAGGTTGACTCAGCCTTCCATCCTTCTGATGTACGTAAAATAAGGAGCCGGATTGTGGGGGCAATAAGCTGACTTTGTATAAAAAAAGAACACCGCTTAGGGGGGGCCAAAAGCCCTACTAAGCAGGTATATACAAAAGTATGAAGGCTATTGCTTAACGCATTGTAAGCCGCCCTGAGTCTCCGGAGAAGGGCGGCATATAAATCGAACTAATAAATAAATAAATATAACCTAACAAAAAGAATTTTCAAGGAATGAGCAGCCTGAAGAAGTAGACAGGAAGGACTGACAAGAATTTACCAGTTAACGTTGTTGGTGGGATTTTCCTCTAAATCTAGAGTTTATACTTGGCTAACATCCTTGCCTGAGAAAATAATAACAAATTGACATTTTCCCCCACCAATGGAGCTTTCATTAAGAAATGAAATAACAATGAAGTGACTGGAATTACCAAGGCTCAAGTCCACCTTCAGCCATGGAAACTCATAGGGTGATTTTTGATGAACCTGTCAATCCAACTACTGTTATTGGACTCTAGCTGGGGAGACCTATGGTTGTTTAGATAAAGAGAAACCTGTGTAGGCCATCTAGAATTCCTAATAAAATGAATGTTTATGCTCCTGCCTGAAAACAAATGGCAGGCATTTGTAGTAGCCTTCAAGATGACAAAGAGAAGAATTGTGGAACTTGGCGATTCATCTCCATGAAAACAGAAATAACATGTGCCAGCTAGCACTAATGATGTTACCTAGTTTGGATAATGAAATGTCTGCAAGAAAACAACCGAGCTCAGAGAGCACCCAGGGCAGCCCGGTTGATTCCATCAGCTTGTGAAGGGTGTTGTGTTATGGGAACATGGATTAATGTTATGATAAAACAAAATCCACTGTTATGTCTATCAGGGTTCCAAGTAATACATCACTGACTATTGGGGGCGAGTCGTTGGCCCCTTCAGAGAGGGCTTGCAATCTGGGAGTCCTCCTGGATATGCAGCTGTCCTTGGAGGAACATCTGACGGCTGTAACCAAGGGGACCTTTTGTCAGGTTCGCCTGATTTGCCAGTTGCGGCCCTTTCTTGATCGGGATTCCCTGTGCACAGTCACTCACGCCCTCGTCACCTCTCGCCTTGACTACTGCAATGCTCTCTACATGGGGCTCCCCTTGAGGAGCACCCGGAGGCTCCAGCTGGTCCAGAACGCAGCAGCGCGGGTAGTGACGGGAGCAGCATGGAGCTCCCATGTAACACCGCTCCTGCGCGAGCTGCACTGGCTCCCGGTGGTCTTCCGGGTGCGCTACAAGGTGCTGGTTATCACCTTCAAAGCGCTCCATGGCATAGGGCCTAGCTATCTTCAAGACCGCCTGCTGCTACCGACGACCTCCCATCGACCCGTGCGCTCCCACAGAGAGGGCCTCCTCGGGGTGCCATCAGCCAAACAGTGTAGGCTGGTGACCCCCAGGGGGAGGGCCTTCTCTGTGGGGGCACCTACCCTCTGGAATCAACTCCCCCCAGAGATAAGGAGAATCCAAGACCTCAGTGCCTTCCGTCGTGCCCTTAAAACCCATTTTTTCAAGCAAGCCGGGCTGGCTTAAGAAGAAATTTTTAAATGTTTTTTAAATGTTTTAAATGTTTTAATGGGTAGTGAGTTTTAATTGGGCCAAATTTATATATCTTTTAATTGTTTTTTAATATTTGTCCTGCATGTTTTCTAATTCTGGCTGTACACCACCCTGAGTCCTCAGGGAGAAGGGCGGTATAGAAATTCAATAATAAATAAATAAATAAATAAATAAATAAATAAATAAATAAATAAATAATACGCCATCAACAAACAGGAATCTGAGGCAAGCAAGTTCCTCAAAGAACTGGTTTATTGGACATATCATATTGGCACGGCCTGGTGAAAACTGAAGGTTCCCATGGTTTTCACCTATTTAAAAGTAAAAATTTTCCCCTTTTCCCAAACAACCAGTCACATAATCCAATCAAGGTGCCATCTGGTTGCCTGGTAACTTTACTCCTCCTCTCTCTGGCCACCTGTGGAAATGTCCTTGGTTCCCAGAAGAAAGTATTTTGTTTTGGCTACAAAAGCCCAGCTATCTCTATTTCCCACATCCCTATCCCTCAGCTCCAGTGTGGCAACACTGAAGCCTCAAAATGGCTTTGGTCAGGTCAGCTTCAGGGTTGACAATGTCTTCCTGCTGATCCTTGTGGAATCAAATAATATTTCCAATAACAGCTCCAATCATATTATTATGGGATTCAGATATAGTGTTTATGACAGGAACTTACAAATCTGTCTGTTGAGGTGATGGTCCCAGTTATCCATTTAATGTAAAGGACTGGAAAGGGAAATAATGATATTGCAGAGGAATAGTATGTTGTGGCCGGCGGC